ACTCACACATTTTAGAGTCAGTCAAAATCAGAGAACAGTAGTAGACAATTTATAGGAAGACTTACATGCATATCTGTATTAAGTGTTATTGACTACATATTTACTGGGGCAAAAAATGTTTTGAGCAAGAGTTGTAGAAGAAAATGAAACAACTATTTTATGTCCGTTACACTTTATCATAAGTCTTATGGTTCCCGGTGTAATTAAGTAAAAGTGTCAGCAAAAAGCAACACTACGAGTACATGCACACACCAAGAGAGTGGCACACCCAGTGAGACATGAACAGCCAAAATACAAAAGATAGGAAAACATCCCACATCATAAAAATTAATGATAACAACAACGTGCCTTGAGAGTGCTATTTGACCAAGTGCACAGTGCAGTTGGCTCCTTCAAAATAATGTCGCCTGAAGATGGCCCTATGTGGCCGAAACGTGTAGCAAAACATTGAATGTACATATATATTAGAGACATTTTAAACATTTAATGAACATTTTAGTGAATTAAATGTGATTTAATGCTGTTTAAAATTTAAATTGTTGCATTATACAATGCAACAGGATGATGAAATATAATATAAATAAGAGTGAGCAAATGCGTCAGAATTGTTATGCTGTGCATACATTTCCCAACTTGTAGTTTGTAACATACAAAGGAACTCTTCTTACAACATTCATAGATATGTTTGCAATTCACAGTTGACTGTCAGTTATCTGTGGTAATGGGAAAACTGATGCGAATAACTTACTAAAGTGGATCCAAAAATGATGTTATTGTACTAACATAAAGCTTGTTGAAATTTCAGCACAAATTGTTGCCACTTACTGTAAACTTATATGCTTGTTTATTGTAAGGAACTGGGTCACACTGTGATCCACTGTTATACATTACAACCCTTGAGGACAGTTAGGTCATGATTTCACTGAATTTTCATGCTGTGAACTTAACCTTTAAGAGCCGAGCAACGCCATATGGCGTCATTAAAATAAAGTCAAGGGGATGAATGACGCCATATGTCGTCGCGCAGTCCATGTGTGCAGCTGGCTTTTTAGAATCTAATTTTAAGTTATAAATTATTTTTCTACTTACATGATTTTTGGTCACCAGCTTTATAAGTTGTCTCTCTTCCCACCTGCGTCGTCTAATGGAATGTTGGCTTAGTGTGGAAATCTTGGAAATATCCGGAAATCCTGAGTCTGACGTCGCACTTCACGCACTTTGTCTGGACTGTTCTCCGTTTCCCACGCGAAAAGCACACACGACACCTCAATTGCGAAGTAGAGGAAGTCGGCCAGTGATGTGGTTTGGCCTCCTATAATCGAGATATCGCCGATAAAACGGCAGGGGTTCGACCCCTGGGCCGTTGATGTCGAGGTGGACTCCTTCTAGCATGTTCCGCACAAGAGCAAGACGAAATTCTCTGTGTGACAACAGGATGTAACTGTTCAGATCCAGAAGATGGAAAAATAATTTATTTGTCAATTTCCAGGTTCGACGACAGATGCTATAACTGTTTGCCACAGTTTGCCCACAGCTCAACCTGAATAATTATTCACACTTCTCTTGCCATGCTGGTGTGGTGGTTCCCAGGTTGCCAATCAAGACGATGGTTCTTCGTCGAAATCAACCGCCATTGATGTGGTTTGGCCTCCTCTAATCGAGATATCTCCAATGAAACGGCAGGGGTTCGACCCCTGGTCCGTTGAGTTCGAAGTGGACCCCTTCCAGGATGTTCCACACAAGAGCGAGACGAAATTCTCTGTGTGACAACAGGATGTAATTGTTCAGATCCAGGAGATGGAAAAATAGTTTATTTGTCCATTTCCAGGTTCGACGACAGATGCTATAACTGTTTGCCACAGTTTGCCCACAGCTCCACCTGAATAATTATTCACACTCCTCTTGCCATGCTGGTTTTTCGAAGACACGGTCAAGGATACAGACAAACCTCTCTCCGTATTTATGACCCCTGGAGAGTGGGTGTCCAGGTATTTGCCCCCGGAACTTAGGCCTCCTGTTGGTCTGTAGGTCTTTACTCAGTATATTCAGACCGGCCCACCTATCCAGATGGGCTCCCTCATGCGCCAACGGAGGGCCGCGCTCCCTAGGGTCTCTAGGGCAAGGGGTGGCAACTGGAATAGGGGAAAGGGAAACACGGTAACTACTGCCTCTACGAATGACTGCAGAAACTTCATGCAGATCTTGACCAATCAGAGAGCCTAAACAAACCCATTTGAATACCCATAATTACTTGCGGTTATCTTGGTGCATTATATGGAAATTGGTAAGTATGAATGTTGATTTGATGTGGTTGCGAAACGAAAGTAGACATTTGCGAACGAAATTACAGCTCCATATTAAACATATTATTTGTGTATATTAATGTTATGCTTACTACCATAAATGGAATTAGAAACATACAGAATTCTTTCAAGCCTAAAATTTTTGAGGTTATCATCAACTGTCATCTAAATGATATTTTTTTATGATATGTTCTGGAACTTTTGGTTTATCCCAGAGTTTGTCTGTTGAATGTGAAGGAGTTCTAAGAGTACCGTGACGGTGTTATAATTTTTGTATTGATCTTGCAGCATAAACATGAGAACAAAAACTTGTGTTGCTGCTGCATGCTTGTCATCCAGCAAGGAAGGCATAAGATTCTTCAGTTTTCCAAGGGATCCAGCACGGTATGTCTGTTTTAATTCATAGTGTAATTACTATGTGTTGCTTAATCCAGTGTCTTGGAAAATACATATAGAACAAACTATACCTAAATTAAGTGCAGCTTGCTATGCAATGAGATCGATTAAGCACTTTATGCCACAGGAAACACTGAAGATGGTTTACCATGCCTACTTTCATTCTATTATGAACTATGGATTAATATTCTGGGGGAACTCTTGACATAGTGTAAAAATTTTTAAGATACAAAAGAATATAATTAGCATCATTACAGGATGTAGAAGTAGAGATTCATGTAGAGATTTATTTAAGAAATTAAAAATTCCAGCTCTTCAATCACAGTATATACTCTCGCTTCTCTTATTTGTTGTGTACAAAAAAAAATAAATTTGAATTAAATTCCAATAT